CAACTATTGGTTATGGAAATTCAAATTGCCAAATATTGATCATTATTGATACTCATTAATAGGTACATGATTATTTAGATTGTTCTATGCTTTTGGTATGCTTAAATATTTCCGTAATGAAACACTAAATTTAAAAAACTTAAGTAAAACACAGAATCCAGAAGAAGCAATTTCAAAGAATCTCACAAAGCAACAGAAAGTTTTGAGCTAGCAAAGAGAAAGATGGTTCCGTTCTAGATAATCAGTACCCAGAACATGGGTAGCATTAATGCCAGGTAGGAGAGTTGTTTATTTAAAACATGGACATTGAATAACTACTGACCCAGGGCTTCTAATCGTTAAAAGGCCCCCCCAGAAAGTGCCAAACATTGCCAAGTATCAAACAGAACAAACAGTACAAACATTTTGTTACACACAGAAGAGGACCAGCAGAGCCTGAATTTCTGAATTAAAAAAATCCAGCTGAATAACAAGGATATTGAGTCTCTTGATCAAAGGGATTAACGATTTATCATATTTCTTTTTTGTCAATTTTAGGGCTGTGGGGTATATGTGAAGATTTGTTACATAAGTAAATTGTGTGCAGATAAGGTTTGGGCTTCTAATGAACCCTATTTTCCCCAGTAGTAGCCATGGGACCCAACGGGTGATTGTGTGGCCCTTAATCCTCCCTCCTTCCCTCTGTCCCTTCCTCCCTTAACAGTGTCCAGTGCTTATCATTCTAGTCTTTGTGCTCCTGTGCTCAGTGTTTAGTGACCGTGTATGAAGGAAGACATGCGGTGTTTAGTTTTTTGTTTCTTTGATAGTTCATTTGCAATGATGGTCTCCAGCCACATCCATGTTGCTGTAAAGGACATTATTTTGTTCTTCTTTATTCCTATGTAGTATTTCATTGAATATGTGTACCATATTTTCTTTATCCAGTCCTCTTTTGATGGACATCTGGGTTATTTCCATGTTTTTGTTACTGTGAGTGGTGTTGCAGTGAACATACATGTACAGGTGTCTTTATAGTAGAGTCTTTTATGTTCCTCTGGTTATAATCCCAGAGTGAGTTTGCTGAGTTGTAAGGTAGCTCAATTCTTAATTCTTTTTAAAAATGCCATATATGTTTTCACAAAGATAACTGCTTACAATTCCACTAACAATGTTTTTTGTCTTTTTAATGTTAGCCATCCTGACTAGTGTGATGTGATATCTCATGGTAGTTTTTATTTGGATTTCTCTGATGATTAGTGAAGCTAAGAATTTTGTCATATTTTTTTGGCCGCTTGTATGTTTTCTTTTGAGAAGTGTCTGTTCATATTCTTTGCTCACTTTTTAATGGAGTTATTTTTTTCCCCTGTCAATTCCTTTGGGTTCCCTATAGATCCTGGATGTTAGGCCTTGTCAGGTACATAGCTTACAAATATTTTTTCCCATTCTGTGTGTTGTCTCTTTACTCTCTTGATGGTTTCTTTTGTTGTGCAAACACTTTTTAGCTTGATAAGTTCCTGCTTATCAATTAGAGTTTACAGTAGATTTTATTTACAATATTTCTTTAGAGAAAAAACAACTGCTTCAAGTTACAGAGTACTTGCTATGTGGCAAACATTTTGCGAGTATTTAAAAAGCATAATTAAAAAAGAAGAAGAATTGCTAAGTATGTAATAAGTTATCTTTAGTGCAAAATCACTGATTTCAGGTCATAGATATTGCTCACTGATCGGTAGATTACCTTCAAAGAGTTCCAAGTTAAAAGTGCTTCCAGCGCCAGGTGTGGTGGCTCACACCTGTAATCCCAACACTTTAGGAGGCAGAGGTGAGAGGATTGCTGAGCCCAGGAGTTTGAGACCAGCCTGGGAAAATTGGCAGGACCTTGTCTCTACAATAAATCAAAAAATTAACTGGTTGTGGTGGTGCGCACTTACGGTTCCAGCTACATGGAAGACTAAGGCAGAAGGATCGCCTGAACCCAGCAGATCGAGGCTATGGTGGCCATGAGCATGCCATTGCAATCCAGCCTGGACAACAGAGTCAGACTCTGACTCAAAAAAAAAAAATGCTAATAAACATTAAAATCTGCATTAAAATAAGCAATTTTTTTTTAAAAAAAGGTGTTTCCAGGTTACTATAACCGGGTGGCTGAACTAGAATTTGCAGTCATTGCAGAAAAAACCATGAGGGGAATCACACTTTTTAGAGGACATACTTCAATAAAATGTACCTCTTTCTGAGTATGCTGAATGTTAAAGAGATTTGACCCGTGAGAGAAAGGAATGTGGGGAGGGAGGGATAAGGAGAGAGAGAGAGAAAGAGGGGAGGAGAAAAAGGAAGAAAGGAGGAAGAGAAAGGAAGGGAAAAAGAAGGAAAGAATAAAAAAAGAAGGGAGAGACGGAGAACAAATGAAGGAAAGACCAGAAGAAAGGAAGGAAAGGAGGAAGGGAGGGTAGAGAGTGAATGAAGGCATTTATGGGGCATTTAGAAAGCCAGAGCATTCCTGTGAGAACAGCATTGTACAGCCAGAGACATTTTAAGTAGAAAAATCTTAGGATGACTTCTAACAGGTAAGTTCTACCTCGTAGACAGAGAGAGACTAAGGGTGACTGTTTATTACCAAAAAAATACTGGCAGATTCCCAGGTTTCTAGTCCATTGGATGATTTTGACTCACCCGCCTCTCTTAAAGATTCAAAAAAAGGGCAAACATAAAGTTAAAAAGTAAGCTTTTAACTTTGACACAGTGGTGTCAAAGGATTTATGGAACTAACGTTTTAAATCTATTATTCAAAATTTTGTAACATTGAGAGAAAAGTCTTCAGAGTGGAAGAAGAAATCACTTTTTTCCCAAAATCAGGTTAGTCTTACTGCTGTGAGTTACTCATTAAAAAAAATTAATAATCAGTTAATTCCTCAGAGGGGAATAAGGGTATCTTCTCTGGCAAATATCTTATTGAGGGTATTTGTAATATGGAAAACTTGAGAGGGGGCTATGTCTGTCTTCTAAGGCGGTTCACAAGGGAAAGAAAATATAACATTTTCAGGTTAACATTTGTGTACAAAGAAAGGAGAAATATGTGCTGTTTTGTGCAGCCCTTGTCCAGCTGTTAGTGGTGTGCTGTTTCTCTAATGCGTGAGTGTACTGTGTGTATATGATGTGTATGTGCCTGTGGTTTGTGTGTATGTGGTTAGTGTATGTGTGGTGTTTGTAATTTGTAGATATGCGTTGTGTATTTGTTTGTATGTTTGGTTTGTGTGCGTGTGGAGTATATGTGTAGAGAACATGAGAGAGGTTTTTACTATGTGTTTGTGTTGTACACATGTGTGTTAGGTTGGTGCCGTGAGTAAAGCAAAGATGTGCACAGAGAAAGTCAGAAAACACGAGTTTATTTACTCTCCACAGGCAGAGAGGGCCAGACACTAAGAAAAGCATGACCCCGAATGCTTAGGGCTAGAGGTTTATAAAGTTGCCTTTTAGGAGGCTGGGAATGGGAATTGTTTGATTTGCAAAGAGCATTACTGACTTTGGGGTAGCGGGGAGGTTGTCATTGCCATGCCGATTAGCTGTTCATGTTTGATTAGCGGCCTGAGTTTCAAGTAATTGATCATGTAGATTGAACCAATTTCTGTAAAACAAAGTCTTAAGACACAAATGTTAATCTGGAGATTTAGGGAACCAAAAGGTACTTAGCTGGGAGTGTTCTGTTTATGGGTGAGATAGCAGGAGGGTTGTGTGTAGAAAAACATTCTTTGAGGAGATGGCAGGAAGGCTGGCACCATCATGACTGTCCATTTCTTTCATCAGAGACTAGGTGGTCTGTTATGTAAACAGAACTAGACTGGTAGCTAGAAACAAATTCTTGGAGCAAAGATGTTAATTAAAATTTCTTGGTGCCGATTACTTGGGATAAGTCACAGCTTTACTTATCAGTGATTCTAGACAGAGAAGTTAATCAAGCTTGCCTCAGAGCAGAGGATTCAACAGAGCCTATTACAAAGTAAGACATTATTCACTATAACAAGACAAAAGTATAAGCCAATGCCAAGCCACCTACCCAAAATGACCGAGGTAACTCCATTTTTTGCTTTATTCTTTCAGTGTGTATGTACGGTTGGTTTGTGTGTATGTACGGTTATTCCCGTGTGTGATAATGGTAGTTGACAATCTGCTAATTAAAAAATACCTTGCAAATTCAATCTTAGGCTGCAGGTGTCTTTTGGACTCCTGTACAAAAAGTGATGTGGTCAAATCTCAATGTCTAGGGTGACCAATGCATGTTGTGCTGAATTCTAATTGAAAGAAGCTGCCTGATACGAGACTGTTTCATTCCAATTTCTTTGCTTTGTTGAACTACCTGCTATAAAATGCAGATTGGCAGCGGTGGCTGCTCTATCCATAGAAGCTGAATATATAAACTAGGATGTATGTGGGTTGTGAAGAATGATCTAGCTTGTCTTGAGTTGGGGATATTAATAATCAGATAGTTATTTTTCAGCTCTATAAGATACAGATAAAAATTTATTTTATCTTTGCTTATTCCTTTACTGACATTTTTCTTTTATTATAATACTGCCAAGTTTTCCAGCTATTGCCATCTATTCCTGCCTGAAGGACTTCTTTTAATGTTCCTTATGGGACAGGTCCTCTGTCCATGAATTACCCCAATTTTTGTTTGTTTAGTAAAGTTTTTATTTCTCTTTCATTTTGGAGTGATGTTATCCCTTAATATAGAATTCTGACTCGGCAGGGTTTTTTGTTTGTTTTCTAGAGTTTTCAGGATTTCCACATGTTTTTAATCAACTAAAAAGATAATAAAAGTGAAATTTCAAATAAAGCACATAATGGGCTTGAAAGTGCAGTGGTATGATGCAGCCAGTTTCCCTTTAGGGTTTTAAATCAGGGGGGAGTACTGGGTGGCGTGTGATCAGTTGCCTCCCTACATTTTGCTGACATCAATGTGTTTTGCACTCACAGTGGATGCAGACTAACCCCTTCAGGAAGAGAAGCAACTTCAGCCTTGTATGCAAATGGACAACCAGGTCCTTCCCCAAAAAGGTAGTGCTTTACTTTTAGTTCCATTATAAAGTATTTCTCCTTTTTAAATATGACATTACCGATTCCATTTGAAAGATTTTTTCCAGTGAAACACATAAGGAATCTTAGAAATGTTCAGGAAAGAAGGTGGAAAAAACCAGCCCTGCTATGGCTTTCCATCAGAAAAGACCTAAATATGTACCATGGTTGCTCAAATTTTAAATTATTTCTATTTTTGTACACCTGTCAGTTTATCACTTGGTGGAAAATATCAGAAAAAGTGGACTAGCTTGATTCCATCTCAAAGAGAAGGAGATTTGTAAAAGAAAGTGAGGCAGGATGACTGTTCTTGAGTCACTGTATTCTTGGATATCAAACATTTTTAAGGCGAAGCTGTTTATTTTAGGCAGGGCAGGAAAAAGACAATAAAATTATTGCTGTTGGCTTAGAGTTATATCCGTAATATAGGGGACAAAAACCCAGAATAAAGGGTAAATAAGAGATTATATGCTTCTTTTAATTTGTGTAAAGATTTCTTCTTTATTGAATTTTATATCTTTTCTTGTATTAATTTAGATATTTAATTATTTTTATATTTTCCTCTTTATCTTCAAATGTATGTATATTTATTTTTTCTATATATCATTGACTTTTGCCCTTATGCTTAGCTTTTACTGCTTTTTATACTTTTGGGGCTTGTTAATTTGTTCCGCTTCCAAGTTTTGAGTTTCCTCTTCTTTTCTGGTAAATATATTTAGAGATGCACATTCTACTTTGTCCATGAGTTTGAAGCACGGTATTCTTACTGTTACTCAGTCTCAGCACTTTAGAATTCCCCTTGTGGTTTCCTTTTTAATTCAAGACTTATCGAGATATAATTCATGGACTCCTTGACACAATGTGGAAGAGAGAAATGAGCAAAATTTGAAAGGTCATTTCTAAATGACAAAGACAACAAGTCTTTACTCTGCACATGGTGAGGTTTGCTTTTCCATCTATATGCTATCCATTCAATTCCCTTTGATATCTGAGGGCTGTGTTTAAAAGGTGCAGAGCAAACCATTCTCGGTGTGTGTGTATGGTTTGAGATGTTTTTCAGAGGACCCAGAGACCTTGAGTTTAGACTGCAAATTAAAGGAAAGGCTGACTGATGATTAAATTTCTCAGGAGCATTCTTTCTTTTCCTTCTGTTCAGCTATAAGGTTCACACAGGGCAGATCTTTTTGTCTGTTCCCTGAGAGGGTCCTTCATCCTTCATTGGCCCAGAAAATCTTTGGCATCTAAGTATTTTTCAAGAAGGTCTACTACTATGCCTTTCCAATGCTAAAACTTTGGTACTTAACTCCTATCTTCCTCATGCCCTAGAAAGGCAAAAATCTCAAAATCAAAAGTCCACAGAGAAATATCTGCCTTCAATGCTCACCTTATGTTTTGATGAGGCTATTTTCACTAAGCCCTTAGCCTAAATAGTTTATCTTTCATTTTAAATCATCCATGATATTTATTAAATGGTTATTTTAATCATATTTTATCTAATATTCTTATCTGTTTCCAATGGAAGCTCAGTTCATAAATCTAGTCAACTATTTCTCGAGTACTAATGCTTTTTTTCATTTAACAGTGTATCTAAAGAGTATTCCATATTTTTATATAGTGTCCTTAGCAGTTTTCACAGCTGAAAATGACTTTAGTATGGATGGATATATTTTAATTTAGTTAACTAGTCACTGTTTTATAGTCATCTAATTTGGTTAAGACATTTTACTATTTGAAACAATCTCTAAGAGTATTTCAAAATAATATAAAAATTCAGTTCAACTTGATGATATAAAATATTTATGTACCTGATAAGATAGCCTCAAATATATATATGCCATTCCACCCAAATTAATTAAAAGAGGAAAACTGTATGATCATCTCAATAGATATAGAAATATCTTTTTATGAGTTTAACATTTATTTGCCATATAAATTTTAGTTAACTATTTATGTGCAATAGATAAGATTCTAGGACAGCTCCCAAGATTGTAGGCCTTAGTTATACTTTTGGGTTAAACCATGAACACGGAGGACAGAAACCAGAGCCACAGGATTATCTCTAAACCTTATGAAAAAAATCAACATTTGACTGGCTAAAAGCAAAACTGTTGGATCTATGACTCATTTTTCTCCTCCATTTTCTCTTATGAAACAGATTTGTCAGCCGGGCTTGGTGGCTCAGCCTGTAATCCCGTGCTTTGGGAGGCTGAGGTGAGTGAATTGCCTGAGTCCGTGGGTTCAAGACCCGCCTGGGCAGCTTGGCGAGACCTCATCTCCACAATAAATAAAAAATTAGCTGGGCATGGTAGCGCGCACCTGTAGTTCCAGCTACTTGGAAGGCTGAAGTGGAAGGATTGCTGGAACCCAGCAGGTCCAGGCTGTAGTGGCCAGGAGCGGCCACTGCACTCTAGTCTGGGTGACAGAGTGAGACTCCAACTCAAAAAAAAAAAAAGAGAAACAGATTTGTCTGTAGCTTTATTCTACACCTGTTTTATCATTATATAGTGAGAGTGTTAGGGGCGTATAGCTTATCCCTTTAGTTTCCCAAGTCTACAGATAGAAATTATATTGTAGACTGGATTACTCCTAGGAACCTCATCTATATACCTAATTTAGATGGTGAGTTTTGGAATTTGTGCTATTGAGGTTTTGATGAGATTTTTGAACTTGAGTTGATCATGTAGTAAGATGAGGGAATTGGGAAGCTTGGGGTGGGGTGAATGTGCTTTGCATGTGGGATAAACAAGATATTTGGGGACCAGAGTGTAGACCGTAGTAGGCAGAATTCTAAGATTACCCTCCAAGATTTCAGCCAGTGGTGTATGTGTACTTTCTCCCAGTAATTTAGGCAAATATTAAGCTAAGTACTGCTTATTTTAAATGCAACTTTTCTCTGCAATATGTACATAAGAGTTTCTCAACTAGTAAATTCTTATCAGTTTGGAAAATAAAGAGTTTTCATGAAGTAACATGTCTTTTTTATGTTAGTAAAGGAACTCATTCCAAGAGTAACCCAAAATATTTGTAACGAGTCCCTTTAAAATAGATAGCCAAAGTACTTGGAAGACTGCCTTAATTCTCTGCACATTTTAGTTGGAATTACATTTTAGGATAATTATATCAGTCGTGTATTTTTCTATTGTATAATCATTTATCAAAAACCATTAGGAACAATAAAATTTTAAACAATATCTAAAGCTCCACATTTCTAAATGTCCCTTATAAATTAAAGTATTTTTAATCTCATCTGTGTTAACAATTGAGACTTTCTATACAACTTCTTAATTTTAGGTTTTTGTTCCTTTCGTTATGGATTGTCTTTTCTCCTGCACTGCTGTAATGTTATAATTATGGCACAGCGCCTGTGTCTGAGCCTCACGATGGTAGTCATGGTGAACAGCACGAATCCACATGATTTCCCTAACACCTCCACTAAGAAACTCCTGGATAATATAAAGGTATATCATAAATATTGCAAACAGTCAAAAGTTTAAAATCCTGTCTTGCTGACTCATTTGTGTAGAAATTGAAAATTATTTAAATCACAATAATAATTAGAAAAAATAAGCTCAAGTCTTCATCTACCTTGCCAGTAGACTTAAATAAACATGTCCCATGATGTAAGTATGCCTCAATATTTCTGAAGGACTTGTTGTGTGAATCCTTGTATGGGAAGAATAATAAAACCCACGAGCTAGAGATTCTTTATAATCAAGGAATTTGGATAAGAAAAAAAGGGGAGGGGGACTTTAAACTAGAAGTGGAAGTTAAAGAGACTGTATTTTTTATTTAAGTTTTCAAACAAGCAATATATTTAAATGTTTTATTAGTTTCCCCTTGGAAGGTAATGAGTTATCTGTCAGGAAATGCAGATGTAGGAACAAATGAGAACAATGGGTAGAATATTTTTTTCACTATATTCTCTCTAAGTTCCTATAAAAATATAAAAGCAAATATAAACATATTTAGTTGTGTCCACTTTATTTTACATTAAAGATAATATTCTGTATTCAGTGTACTGCACTTTGATTTTTTAATGTAATCACTAGAGTCAGGTCAGATATGACACATATATAGGAATTCCAGGACAGGGAATGTAAAATAACTATAATTAATATGTTAAATGCTAGTGGAAAAATTAGGCAACATTCAATATAAGGTTGATAATATTAGTAAAGAGATGAAAACTACATATAAAAAGGAAAGACTAGAAATTAGAGAAACTATAACAGAAATATAAAGAATGCTTTTGATGAGCACCATGGTAGACCAATAAAACTGAAAAAAATAAATAAATAAGTGAGCATGATGGTAGGTTTATAGAGGCTTCCCAAGCTAAAAACAAAGGAAAAAAAGTAACATGTTCATGATTGGAATGCCAAAGAGAATAGAAGAAAAAAGTTAAAAAATAACTGAGAACTTCCAAAATTAATGGCAGGCACCAATCCACAGGTCCAAGAATCTTAGTGGCCACCAAACAGGATAACTACCCAAAAGAAAAACAATCAAAAAGAAAAACCATCTAGACATATTTTACAGAGAAACAAAAATAAGAATTATAGCAGACTTCTTATCAGAAAGCATGCAAATAGAAAGACAAGTGTGCACTCTTGAATGTGTTGTAAAAAAAAATACCACAAAGAATTTTATATTCGGTAAAATTATACTCAAAAGTGAAAGGCAATAAAGGGTTTTTCAGACAAAAAACAAAAATGAAAACAAACCAAAAAGGCCCACCAAATCTTGAAATTTATTGCCAGCAGGCTTGCCACACAAGAACTGTTACAAGATGGTAACAACTATATTGATGAATACTTTTATGTGAATATTAAACACACCAATTAAAAGTTAAAGATTATCAAATTTGATTTTTTAAAAAAGACTCCCAAATATGCTATCTACAAAAAATCCTCTTAATATATAAAGTATCAGTTTAAAAGTAATGGGAAGAAGGAAGATGCAAACTCTATGGAACCTGAAAATGCTAATTATGAAAAAAAAAAAAACAAAACTGGAATAGCTACATTTATTTCAGGCAAAGTGAAATTATAGCAAGAAATATTACCAGATATACTGCATTTTGTTATTTCACAAAACATTAAGGTTATACTTACTATATGATAGACTTGATCCACTACTAGGTATTTACTGAAGAGAAATAAAAGTATATATTTAAACAGAGACTTGTTCACAGTAGTTTTATTTCTAATAGACACAAAACTGGAAACAACCTAAATGTCCGGCAATAAGTGAATGAATGAACAAACTATGGCACATTCATAAAATGGATACACTTTGCACTACAATGGATTTAACTATTGACACACAGAACATCGAAAACTGTTATGCTGAATGAAATAAGCTAAACAACAACAAAAAATAAGGTACATACTATAGGACCCAGCTACATAAAAATTCTAGAAAATAAAAGTTAAATTCAAGTCACAGGCAGTAGATCAGGGGTAGTGGAGAGGCAGGTGAGAGAAATTACAAAAAGTGTAAGAAGAAACTTTTGGAGGTGAAAAATATGTTTGCAATTTTGATTGTGGTTATAGTTTTACAAATGTATATGTAATATATCTATAGTTTACTGTGTCAATTACCAAAAATCTGTTAAAATCTGTTTCTTCACAAGTGTTTTCTGGAATTACAGTCTTAAATATTTGTGGTATTTTATTGCTTTGGTTTAAATATTGAGAACCCCATTTTCTACAAAAATGACTACTTAAAGGGGTGTGTAAGTTAGATCCTTCACTGTAGCAAAAAAGCTAAGAGCTCTTGTCCTATGGAGCTTGGAAGATTTCTCTACCACATTCTGCCCTGCCACCACTCTGCTCCAGTCATAGAACTTACTGCAACAATTTGGTTTACTGCTGTATGAAGACACTGGATGAAAAAAATGAAGAAATAGAATGAATAATTATTCTAAAATAGAAAAACTCACGAGAAAATTATTTATACAAAGCAGATCTAAATTGTAATATTTCATTACCAAGTGAACATAAAAGTTAGTGAAGCAATTATCATTATGGGAGGAAACTATAGAACAGTATCTGTAAGTATTTATAGCAGATGTTGCCAGACAAGAGGCTACACTCAGACAGCAGATTAATTAAAAAAAAAAAAGAAACCTGAAAATAAAGGATTATGAAAAAGTAAACCAGTACATTTTAGAAAATGAGACAAAATAACAAGAAAAACAAGGAAGAATAGACACCAAGAGACACTTTACCACAATAAAGACATCAAGTATATAAAAGAAGAGGAAGCAAGATGAGAAAAAGGGTGAGTAATACTCTGTAGTCAACCGTCCCTCTGTCATCAAAATCAAAAAGTGTATATCATTATTCTATTTAAAATTGACTAATATGATAGTTAGAAATTGTCATAACTTTAAAACTGATATTACATATTTTTAAATTTCCATTGCTTATGTTTATTGATCATTTAAATTTTTTCTCTTATAAGTTATCTGTTGATGCCCTTGATCCATTTTATCTATTAAGATATTATATATTTTTTATTCAATTATATGACTCATACAAATATGTGTGTGTAGTTAGATAGATAGATAGATGGAGTTCTAAGATTTTTATGGGGTCATTTATACATTTATATATGGAATATTTTGTTCAATAGCAATTAGGTAATGCATTGAATAGGAAAATATAAACAGATTTCGTCTTTCTCATGTGGGTAGTTTCAGTCTGAGTTCAGGGGTTTTAGACCAACTTTGGTGGGTTCTTTTTCTATACTCTGTTATGAAGAGTAATGGCTTTAAGCTATTAAAAAACTACCAAAGATTTTGAATGATTTGTTCATATGTACTGCACAGGAAGAATTGAACAAATGTCTGCTGGCATGCCTGATATTGGTAAGGACGAGTATTAATCTCCTTGGTACTTTCTTTCTTTAAGAAAGAAAAAAATGTCAGAGTACTCTGCCTCATCCTCTGGGACCCTTTTGCCTCAGTGGAAAAGATCTGGAACTTCCCTGGCCACCTGACTACTATATCCATGGGCTTCACTGGCTATTATTTGATATCCTCAGAGCGACATTCCTCTAAGATCTCTCCATTCAAGTCCATTCCCATACAAGAGAGATATCACCAACTAGAGGCCACAGCCATAAGATGACAGGGAATTGAAAAGATGAGAAAAAAAGAGGAATAAAGGGACAAGATAATCGTTATGAGAACTGTTAAGTTTTGCCAAAAGCTATCTTTTTACGTATTTTAAGTTCAGCCTAGGGGTTTCTTTGTAGTGAATTGTAACCAGCCTGAATGTGTAGACTGTAACCTACTCTTGTGCCAATCACTGAATTTCAGTTGATCAAAGGCACCAAAACTGTTCAGACCATGTTCGACAAAAGCAAACCGAGAGCTGAAACCAATCCAGCTGTTTCTACACCTGAGTTCATTATGTTATATTGCTTTCCTTTATAAATCTTCTCTGACCATGAAGCTGCGCTGGACCTCTCTGAACCAATTCTGGATCAGGGACTGTCCCATTCATGAATTATGCTTTGTGCAACTTTGTACAACTGTTAAATTTAGTTTGTCTAAGATTGATCTTTTAACTGAACAAACACATGGCTTCCTAGTTATTTATTTAATATTCAAACAAAATGGCACTGTGCACACTCACTCTCTATCCTGGAAAAAAAAAAAAAAACTTCATTTCTTAATATGTTTCTCCTCATTATGCAACTAACACAGAAAGTTTAGAGAATGGGACTTAGAGACATCAAACAAAGCTTTATCCCTTTCCCTACTACCATTAAGATTTCGTCCTGTTTAATGAGTTCAAGGGTATCCTCATAGTCTCAACAATAAACTAAATGTTCAGAATTTATCAGTCTTTAATAATGTTTTTAAAAAAAGAACTTACAGAAACCCCACCGACTCCCCAACCTAGGAATGACCAAATTCACTAATACTTAGGAAAAACATGCCACGTTGGAGCCCATCACAGAGAAAATGGCCTTTTCTTTTCTTTTCCTTTCTTTTTTTTTCTTTATGTGCCATGCAGTTATTTCCACAACTTAAATTAAGAATTCTTCATGGCTTGATCTTCTTTGTCACCACTTTTTTCTCAAGGAGCTGTATATATGTGGGTGAAACTGGTTTTGTGAATAAGCTTAAAATTCATGGAGGAATTAGAGAAAGAGAAGAGACAAGAGGGAATCAATGACTGCAGTATATGTAGTACTATGCAGGAGAGTTCACATGCAGTTTAGCCACATTCAAGAAACAGGTATTCAATGTCTCTGCTGTGACAAGTACTGGAGATGCAGATGCCCTTGGCTGTGAGAACTTTACATTATAGTTGAAGACACCAATGGTAAAATGCAAATACATATGAAAAATGATATTATAAAGGGATAAAGAAGGTCCTGTGACAAAAACATATTAGCAAAGGGGGGCTACTTTACATGTAATGAGCCAGAAGACCAGTTTCCCTGAATCCCTGAATATCACACAAAATTTCCCATATGCAGAGTGGTTAGATATATCTCCCTTTTTCTTTCAGAACCCCGTGTATAACTGGAGCCCTGATACTCAAGGCATCATCTTAAGTTCCATGTTCTATGGCTTATTCTTCATTCAACTTCCTGTTGGATATTTTGTTGGAGTATACTCTACAAAGAAAATGATTGGCTCTGCACTGTGTCTCAGCTCTCTGTTCAGTCTGCTTCTCCCACTGTCAGCTGAAGTCGGAGAAATTTGGGTCATTGTGTGTCGCGTAGGCCAGGGAATAGCCCAGGTATCAAGAGAATGCAAAAACTGAACAGAGTTCAAATTCACAGAAACTATCAGAGATTAAATGTTCCAATCTTCCTCATTTCAGGGAACATTAGGAACAGCTCAGGATACAATATGGGTCAAATGGGGTCCTCCCTTGGAACGAGGCCGACTTCTTTCTATGAGTACATCAGGTAAAGACTTAAGAGCTTAGAATGTTTGAATACTATTTTCATCTCATGGTATCACCTTCTTCCTGAGAGCCAAAATAAACATATGTTTTGAACTGTCAAGGTCTATGGAAATAATCTATTTCAGCATTCTTGTTTTGATGATGAGAAAGTCTTCTAGAATGGAGAAGGAGCATCCTTATTCCAAAGAATAGAGAAAAAGAGAGAGAAGAAAATATGTTACAATTTTCTTCTGATCAGTGTTATGCTATACAAATTTATTTCACAGAAAATTGTTCAGTGAGGCTCCTTATATCTCCATTCAGATGCCTTAATTAATTAAGAATGTTGTTTGTGCCTTCTCACTAGGGCTTATACTGGGACCCTTCATTGTCATGCTTGTGACTGGAGTCATCTGTGAATCTTTGGGGTGGCCCATGGCCTTTTATATTTTTGGTGAGTTTTTTTTCTATAAAATCTCAGTTATTATTCAGAAATTAAAAGAACAAAATACAAACTAAAACCTAATATAAAAACTTATATGAAACTATATTAAAAATAATAAAACCCACTGAAGGAGAGTGAGAAGTCAACATTCATTAAATTCTTATCAGAAACAAGACATCATGTTTAGAACTACATGTATTTTTGTATATCACTTTAAAAATTCTGTAATGTAGGTGCTATGAATCCATATGCCTTGTATGAAGGTTTTTAAGAAAGAAATGATCAAAATAGACAACTCCTTAGATTTCAAAAAAATAATATGATGAAATTACTATTTATACTAAACACTCCAACTATGATGGGGAGTGCTAACCCATATTCAAAGACATTAATTTCTACAGTAAAAAATGAAATTCACACAAATGAGAAACTATTTAAAAAAACTATAAAGGACTGAAGTTGACAAGTTATAACATCCCTTTTGACTTTCAGATCTTGTTTTTCAGATTTGTGAATAAGGGATTGTGAATGGGTGATACTATGTTCATTTGACAAGGAAGAAACTTCTGAAGCCTCAGTGACTTGTCCAAAGTTATATACTCATGTAAATTCAGAAGCATTTATTACAAATTGATTACTTAAAGAGGTAGATGAGAAATATGGTGGAATCAGAGAGATAATGCCATAAACTTGGGCTAGAGATATGGAAGCCAGTACTATCTCCTGGTCCAAAGGTGGCCACCAAGGGAGTAGTGACAAGAAGCCATTTGTAGAGTCTTGTAGGGTTGAAGGCTTTGACAGGCCCCACAGTTTTTCATAAAAGGGCACATAGATTCAGGCAATCATATGAGGGTGTTAGCTAGGCTTTGAAAAGTCACCTTAATCTCAATTCTCTCCCTCTCATATCTGCCTGGAATTTCTGCTGGCCAAATTCAGCTGAAAAACAGAGAACATGGGGACTGACTTATGCTCATGCAAGTCATCCATCTGTCAACAGAGCAGGGTGAATAAGGATGAAGATTAAACCTGGGGACAAACAGAACACATCCAATATACACAGTCAGCCGATGGCAGAACCATAGTATGAAAACATGTATTCCATCCTCACAATTCCATTGCTCTTAATCACTATGTTAGTCATCAGTAGTGGTAATGATCAGTGTTAGTGATGGCACACAATCCCATATCAGGAAAGAGGCAGAAAAACTGGGACCTGTCTAGCCAGAAGAAATGGAAGCTTGAGTGAACATGCCTTATAGGACTGTCATATAAACACAATCCAGATCTGTTCTAAAACTAAACCAAATATGCAGAAATTATGGGGAACTGAGGTTTCAGCTCCATGTAAGGGAAAATTTCCAGTAATTAATGCTGCTGTACATTGCTGATCAAGGGTTGGATGACATCTGACATTCATGCTGCATTCCTAATACAAGATAATGTACAGCAATGTGTGCTGCTAGCACTTGTCATGGGTGGTTCCATAAAACCCAAAGAAAGGGACTGCACATTATATATGATAACAGCTTTGCTGTGAAGTGCCTCACATGAATTTTTTTAAAATCACTGAGAATAGAGGAAAATGGATTAGATGGCAGTGATTTAGGGATTTAGGTGTCTTCCCCCAACTACCCTTTTACTATGAATTACCTGATCCCCACAGATATTAAATGACTTGCCCAAGTTAGTAGCAGAGGCAAAACTAAAACCAAGATTGTTTTTAAACAACATTGGAATATTCTTGCCAATAAAGTTAAACAAATCTGAGTGGATACTGTTTTAAAGAATAAGACAATATCTATCTTTAAGCAGCTGAGAATTGCTGGAGAAGACAACCAAATAGAGCAAATTGGGTCACAAACTCACATTTTCACTTCAAATACCTTGGCCATCTTGCTATGTTTGTCTCCCAAAGACAATTTCAAACTTCTCACTTTTTCTAAAATCTCTAAAGTGACTTCGCTTGTCTTCTATCTTAAGTAGCCTCCCTTTGACAATGGAAATTATTGTACAATCTGTCTATAACCACTGCCCACATTTCCTAGCCTCTCACAATCTCCCAAATCTCAAACTAGTGTTTGACTCAGTGTACTATCAACACGTCCCTTGCCACGATTACCTATGCCATTCATCTGAGATGCCCTGGGGTGTAGACAATAGGGCCCTTTCCCAGGGTACCACACTATAGAGAGTCCATTCTGGCCCCTCTCCAACCAAGTTCTCTTCAAAAGGCAGAGAGTCTGCAGGGTCCAGGACAGTAAATTTATTTGAGCCCATGGCCCTCCTATTCATCACTCTTGAAATATTTTGCTCAAATAGAACCAAGGCTTTTTCAGACAAGCAGGACTTTTCCCATTGCATATTTATTGAATTGGAGACCAAGGAAGGCAGAAGGGACAATTTGAAAAGAATGTGAAGGGTGCATGATGGGAAAGGCAAAAGTTTCTACACATATCCGATAAATACTCCCAGTGGTGTGGGAAGAGATCTGGAGAGGAACAAAAGAGGTCAGCCCTTAGATCAGTGACCAGGTATTTGTAGACAGAATTCTAAATTTAGATCTGACCCTCCAGGTCATTGTTTCTCTCTGGCTTCTTTCAAAATTTTCTTTGTCTCCTATTTTTTTGCCATTGAATGCAATATGCCGGGGTATACATTTTTTGGTAATTATCCTTGGTGTTCTCTGATCTTCCTGTATTTGTGGTTTAAGGACTATCATTTCTCCTTCTGGTATTTTTTATTACATGTATCTTACAGCTTTTATAATAGCCACAAATTTCTTGAACATTCTGTATAGTATTTTTTGTTCTTATTCTATCTTTGTAATTTACTTTTAGAAACTTCTATTGCCATTTTTTTTAGGTTCACTGATTCTTTCTTTGTCATGTCCAGTCTGTTGATGAGTCCATCAAAGGCATTTTTCCTTTTTGTTGTAGTATTTTTGATTTCCAGCATTTCCTTCTGATTCTTTATTGAAGTTTTCAGTCCATTCCATTTTATCATAGTTTCTTTCCTTATGTTGTTTCTACGTTGGACTTCATCCTTCAGCCATTTTTTCCCTCAGTCTCTTTTTCCAACTTTTTGTCTTCTATCTGCTGTTAACTCTATAGCTATATTCCCTTCTAGGACAAATGCTTAGGAACCAGTTACCATTTATTGACCATGTAGCCCTGGACAAATAATTTGATCTATTTGCGTTTCAGTTTTTTTTTAAGAGATAATGGTAACATTCTATGAATATTTTGAGGGTTAAATAAAATAATCTTTTTTATTTTCTCATCCAATAGAAAGCCAATTCAATAAAAGCATGGATTTTTGTCTGTTATATTCACTGTTCTGTTCTCTGTATTCAGAATAGGTACATGGTACATAATAGGCATTTAATTTATATTTGTCAAATGAATGAATCCATTTCTGGAAGACTCACTCGTGAGTACTACATATTTCCTGTCTTAACAGAGGGTGTCTCACAATCTGTTTATTAGTATAAAACACTCAAAGCAACAAACAATTTGGCAAACAATTATAGAACTTGAACAATCCCTGAATCCAAGGTTATATTTCAGGAACAAGCCTCAGGCCAAGCTCTCCAAACTGGCTGATTGTCAAATCTTATGCAGACTCATATGGGTGGTGGAAAATATTAAGAATTAGAAAAGATGAAGGCTTGAGGGTAGGGATCCCAACCATCATGAGTGCAGGCATGAAGAGGATAGGAGATCAGAAGAGGGCAGAGGGCTTACCACCATTTCTGTAAAACTCATTCTGCAGGGAAGAGTTATCTGTGGCTATAACGAAAACTATCAATAATGTAAGCCTTGTTACAATTTCAAAAAAGAGAGAGGAGGTTCAGGTTTTCAGAATGTTACACTGAAAAATGCCAATTTATCTTGCTTTGATAGGTGCTTGTGGCTGTTTTCTATGTCTTCTCTGGTTTATTCTGTTTTATGATGACCCTAAGGACCACCCATTTATAAGCATCGGTGAGAAGGAATACATCACATGCTCCCTCGCCCAGCAGGTAGAACACAGACCTTTGCATTGGTATCGCCCACATTCTGCTACAAACTAAACATGCTTTAAATAGCCCTAATGTGCAAATGATTAATGCACTCCTAATATGCAAATGATTAATGCATTCCTTTCCAGGTCAGCTCAAGTAGAAAATTTCCACCTATCAAAGCTATGCTTAAGTCACTTCCAATCTTGGCTATTTCCATTGGTGCTTTTGCTATTATCTGGGAAAATACCATCCTGACAGTATTTGCACCAACTTTTATCAACTCCATGCTTCATGTTAATATAAGAGAGGTAAGCATACCATTTGCTCTCTTTTTAACTTTAATGAGGGACTCCGTGTTTATTTATCTGTCTCTAATGACCCTATTTTCAGTGTTTGACAACTGTTTTTTACCTGGAGACTCACTGTTTCCATTTTTGAAATGAATATTACCTAGACAAAGCTGTTGACAGAATCATAGTGTCTGGCACTGCAACAGAAATACATATTCACCCATGTTTTCACATATTCCCTGTCTCCCATACACTGTGTGACTGCCCTTGTGCATTACTCAAGCTTCAACACTACCATTTTGAATGGAGACTGGTTTCATTCCCTGAAAGTCACTTAACCAGGTCCTGCCACTCTGTTCAGTTCTTACCAATCCCCCTCTCTTGAGGTAAGGTAATTAATCTAACCTATGAACCAGTGATTCAGGTCTTGCTTTGGAAGTACTGGCAAACCTGTTGTTTATCTTACTAAGAGAATCACTAATGCTTGGAACCACCGTTGTTTGATACCATAATATCCAGACAAAGCTCCTAGAAATAGAGTCTGGGGTTGCCACTTTGTGGTAGTCTGTAATGAACTTCCAGGAAAACAGTCTGGAGGAAAGAATAACAATAAAGTCTTACAAACTCTACCTGACCCAATTTTATCTTCTGTAAAACCATGGGGCAGTTACAAGGGTTAATAGCAACAGGTCCAGTATAAGCCCTACATGCCTGTTTGCAATTGTCATCATTACCTCTTCATCATTTTTCCCAGGGCCTGCATCTTCCATTCAAACTAGAATCTTCCTCTTTACTATCCAGTATTTTTAATTTTCATGATTCAGAACGTGAAAGCTTGACAGATTCTGAAAAATGCTACTGAACTGAAAACTATTTTTCCCTTTTTTGGAGGGTAGTGTGGTCCATCAGTAATTCTAGAGTTGTATGTGGATGATTTCCTGTATAAAAGTGCACATCTGAGAAACTGAAATTCAGTGTATGGATTACTCTGAGTATCTATATTACTCTACCTGTCACACTCATTTCCAGAACAATGTTTCCTCTTTAGAATGCATTGCTGTCTGCCTTGCCCTATTTGTTTGGTTGGATCTCTGGTATTCTAGCAGGTCAGATATCAGATTTCTTTCTGACACGGAATATTCTCAGTGTAATTGCCGTCCGGAAACTTTTCACCACAGTAGGTAAGGAACAGTCAGAACATTTGAGCATTTGGGAGTCTGCTTCACCCCAACTACAGGATACAACTAATTGCATTGTCTGAATCACTCCCCAGCCATTCTCTTTCCTGCCATCTTTGGGGTGTGCCTGCCTTACCTGGGTTCCAGCTTATACAGCGTCACCATTTTACTGATACTTGCTAGTATAGCAATCACATGTGCCTTTGGTGGAATAGTTCTAAATGGCTTGGATATCGCTCCCAGGTAGGGTTCTAAAAATATTTCATTTTTAATTACAAAATCAATACTTGTTTTAATTAGTGTACCACATGGTGTTTTAAAATATCGATACTTTGTAGAAATGCTAGATCGAGCTAATTAGCATGTCTATTACCTCAAATACTCATAATTTTATGTGGTGAGAAAACAAAATCTACTTTCAGCAATTTCTGAGAATACAATACACTGTTAACTATAATCATATGTTGTACAATAGATCACTTAAAATTAGTTCCCATATGTAATTGAAATTTTGTGTTTTTTGACTAACATCTCCTTCCCTCCCCCACTCAGTGCCTGGTAACCACTACTCTATTCCCTACTTCTATGAGTTCAACTTTTTTAGATTCAACATGTAAGTGATATCATTCAGTATTTTTTCTTTCTATGCCTGGTTATTTCACTTAACCTAATGTCCTCCAGGTTCTCCCTTACAGTCACAAGAGATAGGATTTCCTCTTTTTTTCAGTATTCCATTGTGTATATACACCACATTTTCTTTATCCATTCATGTTGATGGACACTTAGGTTAATTCTATGTCATGGCTATTGTGAATAATGCTACAATAAACATGAGAGTGCAGACATACTGATTTCACTTCCTTTAGATATATATTCAGTAGTGGGAATGCTGGATCATAACGGTAGTTCTATATTTAACTTTTTGAGGAACATTCATATTGTTTTCCCTAATGGCTGTCCTGATTTACATTTCCACCAACAGTATGCAGTCTTTCCTTTTTCTCCTCACCCTTGCTAACACTAATCTTTCATCTTCTTGTTAATGACTATTCTAACAAGTATGAGGGGATATCTCATTGTGGTTTTCATTTACATTTCTCTGATATTTTGTGGTGTCAGGCATTTTTTCATACATGTGTTTGCTACTTGTATGTCTCTTATAAGATATGTCTTTACAAGTGTTTTGTCCATTTTTTAACTGGGTTTTATTTTTATTATTGCTATTGAGTTGGGTGAGACAGAGCAAACAGCTCATATGTATGGTCTGGAATTTTTTCCCCCCGCTTCTTTAAGTTGTCTCTTCACTCTTTTGATCATTTCTTTGACTGTGCAGAAGCTTTTTAGTTTGGTTTGATCCCACTTGTCTGTTTTTGCTTTTGTTACCTGTGCTTTTGTGGTCCTATTCAAATATACATTGCCCAGACCAATGTCATGGAGTTTTCCCTTATGCTTTCTTCTAATAGTTTTACAGTTTCAGGTCATATGTCTTTAATCAATTTTAAGTGGATTTTTGTATAAGGTATGAGATAAGAGCTTAATTTCATTCTTCTGCATGTGGCTATCCAGTTATCCTAATACCATTTGTTGAAGAGACTGTCCTTTTTCTACCGTGCATTCTTAGCACCTTTGTTGAAAATCACTTCACCATAAATGTGTGAGTTTATGTCTGAGCTGTTCTCTCTGTTCCACTGTTCTGTGTGTCTGTTTTTATTCAAGTACCATGCTGTGTTTTGTTTTTGTTGTTGTGTTGTTTTTTTTTTTTTATTTGCTTGTTTTTTTTTTTTTAAGAAAGGATCTTGCTCTGCTGCCCAGGCTGGAGCACAGAGTGGCACAATCATAGCTCACTGCAGCCTTGAACTCCTGGGCTCAAGCAATACTCCCACCTCAGCCCTCCCAGTAGCTGAGACTACAGGGATATGCCACCAAACCTGGATAATTTTTTAAAATTTTTGTAGAAATGGGGTCTCACTATGTTGGCCAGGCTGTTCTTGGATTCCTGACATCAGAAAGACCATCCCACCTCATCCTCCCAAATGCTGGGATTACAGGCATGAGCCACCATGCCTGACTTTGCTTTGATTACTATAACTTGGAAGTATACTTTGAAGTCAGTAGTGTGATGCCTTTAGCTTTGTTCTTTTTGCTCAAGACTGTTTTGGCTATCCAGAATCTTTTTTGGTTCCATATACATTTTAGTATTTTTTTTTTCTATTTCTGTGAAAAAATTCATTAGAGTTTTTACAGTGATTGCATTGACTCTTCAGATTGCTATAGGAAGTATAGACATTTTAACAATATTAATTCTTCTTATTCATTAATATAGGCTATCTTTCTATTTAGTTATGTTATCTTCAATTTCTTTCATCAGTGTTTCATAGTTTTCAGTGTACAAATCTATTTTAATAAATTTATTCCTCAATATTTAAACTTTTTTTGTAGTGACCATAGATATGACTGTTTTCCTGACTTTTTTTTTTTTAAGCATAGTTTGGTATCATCAGTTAAGCTTTTAAAAAACTTCTTTCTTTCTTGAATCCAAGTTCTCAAAGACAGGGCTTTTTTATTTCTTTTTTTTTTCTTCTTCTTGTATAATTTGCAGGATACAAGTGCAGTTTTGTTACTAGAAATATTGTATAGTGGTGAAGTCTGGGCTTTTAGTATTACTGCAACCAGAATAATGTACATTGTATTTATTAAGTCATTTCTCATCTTTCACTCACCTCTCACCCTTCCAAGACTTCAGTGTCTAATATTTCACATTCTATGTCCACATGTGTAAATTATTTAGCTTCCACTTATAATTAAGAACATGCAGTATTTGACTTTCTGCTTCTGGGTTGTTTCTCTTAATATAGTGGCCTCCAGTTCTATCAGTGGTGCTGCAAAAGACATAATTTAATTCATTTTTATGGCTGAGTAGTATTCCATGGTGGGTGTGTTTCTATGTATCACATTATCTTAATAAAATCATCCATTGATGAATATTTAGGTTGATTGACAGCTTTGCTATTGTAAATAGAGCTGCAATAAACCTAAGAGTGCAGGTATAATCTTTTACATTATTTCTTTTTTGTGAGGTGGTAGTTACCTAGTAGTGGAATTGCTAATTCACATAGTAGCTCTATTTTTAGTTCTTTGAGAAATCTCCATACTGTTTTCTATAAGGTTGCACTAATATACATTCCCACTAACAATATATATGTTCCTTTTTCCCTGTATAGTCGCCACCATCTGCTTTTTGCCTTTTATTTAAATTATTAAGTTATTCTGACATGTGTGAGATGATATTTCATTGTTGTTTTTATATGCATTTCCCTGATGATTAAAGAAGGTCAGCATTTTTTCCTACGCTTTTTGGCGCATTGTGTATCTTATTTTGAAAAATGACTCTCCTTATCCTTTTGCCACTTTTTAATACAATTGTTTAGTTATTGTTCTTGTTGTTGAGTAGTTTGAGTTACTTGTAAATTCTAGATATTTCAAATAGCTTGTTGTCCATAGCCAGCTTGTCAAAAGTTTTGAAGAAGTATCTGTATAATTTAGACATAATCAGTAATAATTATGTATCTAATGATGTATTTAGATGTATGCACCTGTCATATGTATGTCAAAAAGTGTATCCCAATGAGAAGCAATGATTTAGAGTTTTAGAGTTAGCTTGTTGAATTTCAATGTCAACATGGCTATTTACCTCAAGGACATTACTTAACCTTGTCCATGCTGGTTTCCTCATGTATAAAATAGAGGTAACAATGGAATACTTATCCCCTAGAGTTGCTGAAAGGATTAAATAAGTTAACATAGATCAAATGCATAGAATAATGCCTGGCATATTCTGGCAAACACTTTATAAGGCTTAGCTATTCCATCAGTATTGCCATTATATCCATGTTTATATATTATTAACTCTCTTGACAACCCATCAGTGAGTCATATTTATCTTACAAGTAAGAAAACTGAGGTTCAGCTATTTAATTTTCAGCTTGTTATCTCATTACTGGTCTGGAATTTAAATTTACTTGGCACAAAACTTGTGCTCTTTTCACTATGTTATATCTTCTTTAGAGATGTAATAAGTGTGACTAACAGAAGCAGCTCTGTCATTTGCACAACTCAAGAGACATGCTTCACATTTTGTATTGTGGGGTTAACACTCCCTGACAAGCATAAGTCCATATAAATAGAATTATCTGGGTTTTTTTTTAAGCGGTGGTTCTGGGATAGAGGATCAAAATCAACCAAGAATAATTCACTGAGATATAATTCTGTAAAGAACATGACCACCTGATCTAGACAAAGTGCCGGAGTAATAAGGACATGTATTCATTTGATTTATTTTGTTCCAAGACTCTTCTTTAAAAATGCCTGCAGGTGTTCTGATTGCTTTGTATTGTATAAAGACATAAAAGGATTATATGACATAGAATGCACAATACCTACTGAACCATATTCACTTAAAAAAGACAGCTAAACTAAGAAGATATACACATAAATAGATATATTCAAAAATTAGAAATACCATTAATTGGGTACTTTTTACATGTTTTAATGCCTAAATATGAGAGAGAAAATATTATTCCCATAGTGTTGGTGAGAAAACAAAAGACTGAAACTATGGTTCAGTTGGATATGGGGGAAAATATTCTAGAATCTATGTGAACATACTAACATACTATTTGTAAAAAAAAAAAAAGTGAAAAAATCTTATTCTGTTAAGCTAGTTCAGCCTCCATCTTTAGGGAATATGTGTATTATTTCTCAACTTGATCAATTTGTATTAAAATATTTTTTTATTTGATAGAGATGAAACTTATTTAACCAAGAATATTCCTAATTATATGCCTCCATTGCCTGTTAAATAGAATTTCCCTAGAAGAAAAATCTCTTTAAAAATCCTCTTCAGGACATTTGGTCTTTGCTAGAACTGCAGAGTGGGCCAAGAAATTCCATTTGTTTGGGCAGAAGAGAGGTGTCAAGGAAAAAGTTCTGAAAGGAAGAAGAGTCACACAGATGTGGTTTTAAGAGAATATTATTTAGGAAATGAGATTGAGTGAGATGGAGAAGGTGTGGGAATGTAGTGAATGTCATTTCCTTGGAGGATATCAGGAGTAAAAAGGAAATACACTCATGGAAATCGGAACTGGCATCCAATTCCTGAACAAAACCCAAAACCCACAGCTCATAAGAGAGAAGATAGACAAGTGGGACCTTATTAAACTGACAAGCTTCTGCAAAGCCAAAGA